TCCCTGATCACTCCGTTCCTGGTAAATGTTATCACAAAACTCTTTGGTCTCAATTAAGGAGACAATTTTTTTTAAACTTTGAATAATTTTTTTTTAAAATTACTATCCAGTTGAATGCAATGAATTTTTTTTAAATGAATCTCAGAATTCATCTATGATGATTTCATTTAATTTTTTGTGTAGTTATCGAAAACTTTGTTAAAAATTCTTTTTTAAAAAATAACTGAAATGAACGAAAGTTTTTTGATAACTACTTAGTCAATTCGATGAACCATTTTTTTTTAGATAAATTTACAAATTTGCAGAATTTATTTTTAAAAAATTTCAATCAATAGGTAGTTGTCGAGATACCTTCAATGTTTTGTTGTAATTATATTGATCTTTGAACAAAAGAGCAGTCTTAAATAAACCGGGAGTATCCTAGATCTCCTAAATAAATTAAATTTATAAATAGTCATAATCTGATAAATACATTTGCGGTTCAGGATAAGAATATAAACCTTGATCTAGGTAAAATTTTTCTTATCAATAATGTCTAATTAAATTCAATAAATTCTGCAAAGTAGGTACGTTGTAGAATTAATGATTTGACATATAATTTTAGACAAAATATTGAAATAATCGGTATATAAATTCTATTTTATGATAATTAACAATATAAAAGTTTATATATTTATATAATATAGAATATTTCGTTTTCTGACTTTGAAATTTAGAAAGACAAGAAAGATTTTTTAATTATAAAACCTAATATCTAAAATTTTAATCAATTCTTCAGCTTTCATGTTGCTTAACCAATAATAAATTGGTAAAAAAAAAATGAGATCAATTTGGTAATAAATTTTTACAACGAATAAATAAATAAGAAAAATAGCGGTTTAATTAACGATATAGGCTAAAGAAAAAAAATGTCCACCATTTTCAGTAAATGTAATGACGATTAAAAGTAATTAGTTACTGATAATTACATTTTAATTAGTCAATTATATGAAAGTCAACTGAGTTCAGACCTTTTCAAATCGTCAGACTACTCGAGATATAAGGCTTTATCTCATATTTATCAAGAATTGCTATCTTCAAGGTTCTCGAGATAGTTAAGTAAATAAGGCTCTATTTCAAATTTATCGAGAATTGTTCTCAACGGTACAGTTACAGAAACATACCCAGAGCCACTGTGTATACCGATTAGACTCACCGAACGCAAATCTCGGTAAGAAAATACAATTCCCCCACTATCACCCGACGCACTCTCAAGAGTACCAACGATCAACTCCCTTCCAAAACTAAATTTATTGGTAAAAAACCATTGAACGACAATACATATCCACAAGTAACATGTGTAGAATAGCCAGATTTGCATATATGAGCACCATGGCTAGACACAGGAGTATCATCATATGGGCTGCCGTCAATAGAAATAAGGCAAATTAACATTTTAAAAAAATTTAAAGCCTTAACTTTCACAGCTCATATCTCGATGACGTTTAAAGCTATCTTAATAAATTTATATTCAGAATAAAGCTTAAGATCTGAGCTTTCATTTGAATATAACTTTATTAAGATAGCTTTAAAATTCATTGAGATATGGACTGTGAAAGTTAAGGCTTTAAATTTTTTTAAAATGTCAATTTGCCTTATTTCTATTGACGGCAGCCCATATGCTCACATGATTGGTTGGATCATATGCACATCGATTTACTTTATGCAGAATCTACTGTAGTTCAATATTGCTAGCTGGGTTTTTCATAGTGCCAGTATATGTGAAATTTACATGAAATTCAAGTTACTGAAATTTACACAAAATTACATGAAATGTAAAATTGTAATTTTTGTAATACAACCCTAACGTACTTACGCGCATATGACAATTTTGTATTTTTATTGAATCTATTATTCCGAAATTTCAAACTTAATCGAATCGGCTGGAGTACTATTCGGTCAATTTTTATCAAATGTTCTAGAAATTATGAAAATAGCAGTAAATCCAGACAAAAATGTTATTACGTCATATATACTATACGTATAAAAGTGGAAATAATTATTTATATGTGTAACATTAACGGTCTCTGTTGTTATTTTTATTATGAACTAGAGGATGCAGATGTGGGCGGCTTCACCGCCCGGTTGAGGCTGTTATAGTATTATTTCTTAAAAGAAACAATATATAATGGTTAAATGATATTATATCAGTAGATTTAGATACGTTTAAAAAATTTTAAATAAGATTTATTGTATATAAACTTACATATAAAATATATAGTATATTGTTTTATTCAATGTTTATTTTTTAAGAACTTGGATATGGAATTTAATGACAAAATATAGGGTATGAAATGTTTTTTAGATATTAAGTCAGAACTGGTGCAAGTTATTATAAGGATAAAATTTTACATTGTAGAAATAAAACTTACATGTTTGAGAAATTTATTTACAGTACTAGGAACAGATGCATTAGAGTTGTAGACTTTAATTAAGATGTAGAAATATTTGAGTCAAGTATTAAAGTCTTTGTTTACTGCAGTTAAAGCCATGCAGAAGTTTGCCTGATTGGTTAATAAATTCAATTTGATTATTTAATTTTACATTATTTATACAGTTTAGAAATTTTTTAAAAAAAAATGAAAACTAATCATAATGAAATAAAAAAACTATATAGAAGGTTTCATTAGAACTGTAGGCTTCATAGTCAAAAATAAGATCTAATTTTTATCTGTTTGAAAAAGTTTGCATTCTCAAAATCTAATAAAATCAACTTATTACTAAGCTAATTTTTTCTAATGGATGAAATTAAATTATATTTTTGACTAATAAGTCCTACAGCTCTAATGAAACCTTCTATACAACCTTTTTTTACTTTATTATAGTTGATTTTTGTTTTTTTTTTAAAAAATAAGTCTTCTAAGCTATATAAATAATGTAAAATTAAATAGAATTTATTAGCAATCAGACTAACTTCTGCCTATGACAGTTAATAAGAAGATTGAGTTCTAAGGATTTATTGAATACTGTATTTGTTTTATTAATAAATTAAAGTATAATCAGTTTGAAAGAAACAGTATTTATATTAAATAATGAAGTTAATCATTAAAATTATTATATAAGTTCCTTGTTTGATTTATGATTCAGTAATATAGTAGCTAGCATATCATTTAATACATTCAAGCAGCAAAGAGACTAAATTTACATAAGCAAATGCATTTCTATGTATGTAGCACATACTCCTATAGTATAATAAGGCTTTCAATAGAGCTTAGCCAAAATAATAAGGCATAAAAATAACAAAATTAACAGGAAACTTGATTTCAACCAATTATTGAATTTGTTTTGACTTAAATTATTAGTATCACATAATTAATAAGTTCCATACAATAATTATTATCATCAGTCCTCATATTATATTAAGAATTATATAATCATGAGGAAGTTGTTTAGATGATCCCATATATAGAAACAAATGAGTGCTGCCAACGGAAAAAAGCACTTCCATTTTTTAATCAATTATTGATTCAATAATTGATTAAATAATGGAGATGCTCTTTCTCTTTGCAGCACTCAAATACAATAACAACCAAAAATATCAATGTACTAAAAGGCAAAACCAACTAAACAAAATTGAATAGTGGTAATAAATGAATATATCACACCAGTCAGATCCCTTTTAATACATAGGTTTAAGTGTTCATGTCAAATCTAAGCCATAATAAATAGAATATTTATTGTTACAGCTGATGTTGACTTTTGGCTGATGTTGAATCTAAAAAATCCTATTGGCTAAATTTTGCAGATTAACCAATCAGATTAATTAAATTCAGCATCAGCCGTCACATTTATTAATGTAAATATATTCAAAAACAACTAATCAAATTAAACTTCTATATACACAAAAACTGTACAACACAGGGGATTTGTTTTTGTTAATAATAAATCTCATTATTGGTCACGCCTCATATCAAATAATTACAAACCTTGCACATGACACTGAAACCAAATTCTTTCGCTACGATTTTTACATTTTGACCTTTGATGATCACTGATTGTCATTTAATCTACCTGGCAAAAAAAGTGTGAAAAAAAACAAAAGATCGAGTTCACAAATTAAACCAACCATTCAAAAATAATAAATATGATCAAAATTTTTGTATCCAATACTTAGCGATCAACACACTGTATCTAGAATTTACTACATACCAAAGTATATATAAAAAAGGAGTGAGTAGATCTTTCCTTTTATATAATTACAAGGGACGATCACGTGAAAAATGCACAAAATGCAATTAATTACATTTCAGATCGTAAGTTGCATTTCAGATATAGAGGGGCATATGAGAGGTTAAAGGGGGGAATATAATAGAAATTAAGGATTCTTAAAGATAATAAATGTAAATAGTTTTATTAAATATTGAATATAATATGCCATTTGTAAGAGGTGCAATTAAGTATTATAAATAAAGGCCAAAATGGCCCTTAAGAGAAATATGTCTCGTTTGCTTTATTAAATAATAAGTCCCAATTCTATAAAACCACACAAAACTACACCATCGTTATCCAGATTATAAACCCTATAAACACCAGAGACATCATCATTCACTCAAGTTCTTGCCCACGTGACTTATCCTGCTTGTCTTCATTGACCCTAAGTAACCGAACACCTTAATCACCCACCAGCCAAATCTAACATGCCTCTTCCGTAAGGTTATCTATCGTTAGTTACGCAAGATTTTGGATTGTGGAGCAACCGAGTCGCAGTCATTCTTTTCTCAACATTTTTGGTGGTAACTGTGAGACCGAAAAGTAAAATGATGTTCACTATCCCCCCCTCCTGATTTGAAAAAAAAAAAAACAAAAAATTTTGTCATATTAGCATAGACAGATCTGAATAAACAAGAGACTTACTTAAATCCAAGCCCAAGAAGTTATAACAGTCTACACTGGAAGGATTTCTTGCATCATTTAATCCAGCTATCAAGAACGCCACCTAGCTTAAAGAGTTAATAAAAAGTATGACCAAGTCCTTTGAAGACGCAGCCAAGGACATCATTAGAGGTAATGGGTCCGGGTCTAAAGAAACAAACCACGTGAAGGTTAGAAGTTTCAGTAGAAATGACGATGACGACCCAATAGAATGGTTTGACGATTTTGAACGGGCTGCGGAAGCCAACAATTAGTTGGATGAAAGGAAACTCAAGCTAGCCTCAGGGTATCTAAAGGAGATGGCGGCAGAATGGTACAAGGATAAGAAGGCGAACATCACTGGTTGGAAAGATGACGATGATCAAGACCACAGTTTCTACCACTTGCTGGTCACTTACTTTGCTACCCCTGAAAAACAACACAAGTGGCAAATTCAGTTGAATACTCTCACCAACTCGAACACGAGAAGGTTGACACCTACGCCATCAAGTTTAAAAAGCTCCTAAGTCAGGTGGACCCAGAAGATTCATTACTTGACCAATATATCATACAAATGTTTTTAAGCGGGTTGAAAGGGAAAACAGCAACGTTTGTAGCAATTACTTCTCCAAGAGGCCTTAATGAAGCAATTGTGGTAGCTAGAAGGTTGGAAGCAGGCGAGTATTATGGTGCCCACACACAGGAAGCTCTGGTAAACCTTGATAAGAAGGACAAAATAATTGAAGCATTAGTCAAACAAGTGCAACAACTATTGGTCAATTATGTCGCAGCAAATAACCAACAGGAAAAGGATACGCATGAAAAAGAAAAGTATAGAGAGAACCACAAGCCCAGGAAGAAAATTGTCTGTTATAGGTGTGGTAAGAAAGGACACATTGCCAGATACTGTATGTCAGAAATGACATCTAAAGTGTCCAGTGAAGCAGAAAGAACGCAATTAGAAAACATTAGTAGAATAAACTATTGCGAAAATGAACTATTCGTAGCGGATAAAAGAAAGCAACAAATACAACCGGACATCCCGAAAAAAGACCTAGAGTACAACCAGAATCAAAGTGGGATAATAGACTTCGCCCCGGGCAGAAGGTGAACCACTTTTAGTAGACGTTGGAGACCTATTCCAACCTATGGAGTTAGAAGAATCACAACCAGTCAGGAAAATAAGACGAAAATGGGAGCCTTCGGTGATATATAAATTAACCCCATACAATGTAGTAAACAATATTCTATCCTTACCTGTTAAAGCCACAGTGGGCCAGATGCTGCAATACCCGAACCAAAGAAAGAACCTAGCCCAAATCCTACACCTACCCCTTGTAATACAAGAACCCTAAGAAGCCCAAATGACCCAAGGGCCCCAGGAGACTCATGTGGTAAACTTTAGTGATAATCCCCGACCCACTGCTACCCATTGTTATGTCCAGATTAAAGGGAAACCCGTACGAGCTGTGCTGGACTCAGGTGTGGCAGTAAGCATAATCACTAAGAAACTTATGGACAAATTGAAGTTGAAAATAGACAAACCATCGTCAACGGTGATAATTACAGCTACTGGAACCAGGACGCGTGCGTTGGGCCAAATTGAAGATGTAAAGATAGCCATCCAAGATATACTCCTACCTAGCACCTTCCAAGTAATTGAATCTGTAGATGAGACGTTGCTGCTAGGTAATAATTGGTTGCATAGAGCACAGGGGAGGATTCACTTTGATGAACAAAGATTGCTTCTCAAGCATGACGGCAGAAGAATCGAAGTACCTATTTCTAATAGTGGAACGAAAAAATTGGAAGTGCCAGAAGAAAGGAATCGACTCGATAGCAACAGTGGGGATGAGTTTGGCGAGTATACCTATGAAGATGAAGAGTTAGTTGAAGCAGAAGGATATTATAGGGAAGAAACTAGTGAAGAAGACAATGAGCTGTTTTATAACCTCTGGGAAGAAATAACGAGTCCAGCTATATACTTGACAAATATAGAAGAAGTGCTGACCCAAGAAGATACAGAAGCAGAACCTACGGTAGAAGAACAAATAAAAAGTTCCTTCAAAACGACGTTCTGGACAGAGAAGCGAAAGAAAAGGCAGAAGAATTCTTTCAAAAAGAGAGAAGCTTGTTTACCAATACTATGCAGGGACTCGGGAAAACCACTGTAATAAGTTACTGAATTGATACTGGCATGGCCAAACCGATAAAGCAAAGAGCCTACAGAGCGGCGCTGAACAACATGAGTTTATAGAAAAGGAACTAAAAGAGATGGAAGACAGAGGCTTAATTTGGAAGTCCAGTAGCCCGTGGGCTTCTCTTGTAGTCGTGGTCCCAAAGAAAGGTGGGAAACTGCACCTCTGTATAGATTATAGAAATTGAATGAGGTAACTAGAAAGGACGTATACCCACTGCCAAGGATAGACGACCTATTGGAGACCTTCAGCACTGCAAGTTAGTTCTCTAGTTTGGATTTGAAAAGCAGATATTGGCAAGTAAAAGTTGAAGAGAGGGACAAAGAGAAGATGGCATTTGTAATATGGAGTGGGCTTTACGAGTTCAATGTTATACCATTTGGCTTGTCGAATGCACCAGCCACCTTCCAGCATTTAATGAACCACGTCTTGGATGAGTATATTGGAGAATTCATGGTTATGTATATCGACAATATTAATATATATTCTAGAACGTTCGACGAACACTTGGGACACCTAAAGAAAGTGTTTGATAAGTTGGTCAAAGCGGGGTTGAAAATCAATGTCAAGAAATGCGACTTCTTTAAACCCACCATTCATTTTCTCGGGTATATAATTGGAAGACAAGAGATACAACCTGACGAAAGTAAGGTGGAAAGAGTAAGAAATTATCCTATACCAAGTACACTACGCCAGTTAAGGGAGTTCATCGGCCTCATGTCATATTATAGAAGGTTCATTCCTTGGTTCGCCGTATTAGCAAGACCTTTACACCATTTATTGCAAAAAGATGTTAGTTTTAATTGGGGATTTGAACAACAAAAAGCATTTGAGGCATTAAAAAATCACCTAATAACAGCACCTATTCTTAAGTACCCCGATTTTGATGACATGTTCTACCTGTACACTGATGCATCCGGCACTGGGTTGGGGGCTGTTTTGGCTCAGAAAAGTGAAAGCAAGAAGGAACATGTTATTTCCTACGCCAGTCGCAGTTTATCTAGAGCCGAAAGAAATTACTCAGCATATGAATTGGAATGCCTGGTGGTTATTTGGGCGGTTGAATACTACCACTATTACTTTGGCTTTAAGCCATTTACAATCATAACCGACCATTCGGCACTGAAGTGGTTGCATAGTGCGAAGTTGAAGGGAAGAAGGGCCCGATGGATACTCTGGTTGCAACCATACAACTATACAATCCAGCATAGGTCAGGCCGTACTCACTTGAATGCGGATGCGTTGTCTCAGATAAATGGAATAGAAGAGAAAATTGTGGAAGTATATATGATGGTAGGAAGAAGAAGTGAGCAAAAATTAGAAGAGGACGAAAGTCGAGTAGATAAGAAGGAAGCTGACTTACCTGAGTTTAAAGAAAAGATATTTGAACTAAGCGCTTAACCAACCTCTGTGATCTTATACGACAAGTTGGGGACGGCATATCAGAGGAGTCTAGAATACGTGGGCCCGAGTAAATCTTATGGCAATACCTACCAAGTATATCATCACCCAACCAACTTCGAACATCTTGCGCTGAAATTATTAGATCATAGAAAAGCAGTCTATCTAATAAAATATCATGGATTTAATCTAGTAGCATCGGAACCCAAAATTTTGTTAATGCTAAGGGATTGGATGACTGCTGGGGCCAGACAAGAATTAATTAGAAGAGAATACTTATGTGATACAAGAATTGACCTAGAATATATGGAACTGCTGAATATCCAAGCAATCGAGACCGAAAGAGCTGCCAACCAGAGGTGTGACCGGAAACCAATTAACCTGGGATCGATAGAACTAAAAAGCAATAATTAGTATAATAAAATAAATAAATAAATATAATACTGAAAGTCATAAAATCTGACGATAAATCCAATCCAGTTCAGGTGGTCGGTGTCCTGGCAAAAAAAGTTCAAAATGGAAGAAGGAGACTATAATCGGTTAAAGAGATACCTGCAAGAAGGATACCTGGAAAACAACCTAGATAAGAAACAAAGGAGACAATTGATTAATCATAGCAGATCATTTTTATTAAAGAACAGTTTATTATATAAGAGGAATAAGAAGAATCAAGACCAATCTTTAAAAGTAGTCCAGAAACACGAGATCAATCCAATTCTCTTATTAACGCATGATCAACCACTTGGGGGACACTTCGGGGCTAAAACGATGTTTGAAAAAATTCGCAAGATGTATTATTGGCCACAAGCATTTGAATACGTTAGAAGATATGTTCAATCGTGCGAAAATTGCCAAAAGAGGGGGAAAATAAATATGCAGGACCTCTACAACCAATACCAGTAATAGCGCCTTTCTACAAAGTGGGGATAGATATTATCGGACCACTACCAATCATGCCACGAGACTCACGATATATAGTCGTAGCAACTGACTATATAACAAAGTGGCCAGAAGCTAGGGTAATTTCGATCCCGATGCTCAAAGTGTAGCCGACTTTATCTTCGAGGATATCATATATAGACACGGGTGCTCTATGAAATTACTATCAGACGTGGTACCCACTTTAGGAATAAACTGGTTGATAAATTGCTAGAAAAGTTTCAAATCAAACACCTATTAGCAACACTGTATCACCCAAGACTAACGGGTTGGTTGAAAGGTATAACAAGACCTTGTGTGAATCTATCGCAAGGTCAATAGATAACGTTAGTGACTGGGACCTGATCATACCCGCAGTATTGTTTGCATACCATACCTCCAGACATGCAACTACCAAAAATACTCTGTTTTACTTGATGTATGGCAGGGAAGCCCGACAACCAATCAATTCGGAAGATCTACTTGAAGGAACAATAGTACAAAAGACGTTTCAATTGTTAGAAGATTTGCTGATAACACGACATGAGGCTGTGCAAAGGACACAACGAGCTCAACAAAAACAAAAGGAATGATACGATCGAAACGCCCATTTTCCACCCGAATTGTCTATCGGTGATAAAGTTCTGTTGTACCATGCTTCAAAAAAGTATAATAGAAGCGTGAAGTTAGAGCCAAAATGGGATGGCCCATTTTATGTCCATCAGATACTAAATAAGAATGTGTATAAATTACAGACCATAGAAGAGAAGGTCCTGGACACACCGTTCAACATTACACTGCTGAAGGAGTACTACGATCGACCAAACTAGAAGAAAAAAATATATAAATATATATTATATATATACGAGAATAAAATAATGATAGAAAGAAAAAGGGGAAGAGATGAAAAGAATTGCCAAAAGGACGAAAGCTATAGCAGAAAAAGAATCGATCTCGATCAAAATGCAAGGAAATAAAAGGAGTGCGGAAATATGGGGAAAATTTTTTAGATCTGCAAAAATTTTCATTTATATAGAAAAATGGCTAGAAATCCGATCACGTTAGCTGAGATCATGGATGACGTCACCAACCCGTTTCCCCTCAACGTTAATCCTGCATCCCCGCTCTTTGCTACGACCCACGATTATTCCGGCAGTGTAACTCTAACAATGAATCACCTACAGAGAAGCCTAAGACTAAGACAACGTATAAACACCTTAGTGCATGGATATTACTTGGGTATGTTATATGCCAATGGAACTCGGCAACAGCAAAGTCAGTTTCGTGATATGGTTAAATGACATTACTACACATCCGCCCTCCGCACCTACAACGTGTTCGTGAAGTATGGAATAGAACAAATCTATAGAACCACCAAGTTAGAATTTGCAGACCTACGAAAGTTGAAATTAAATGAACTTCAACAACTTACTGAAGAAGATCATGCGTGGGACGCATGACTTAAGCAGGAGGGAAATGTGAAACTCAGAAAACGTGATGTATAGGCCGGGACAATCATGTGAAAAATGCACAAAATGCAATTAATTACATTTCGGATCGTAAGTTGCATTTCGGATATAGAGGGGCATATGAGAGGTTAAAGGTGGGAATATAATAGAAATTAAGGATTCTTAAAGATAATGAATGTAAATAGTTTTATTAAATATTGAATATAATATGGCAT